CGGTATCCATGGAGGTGCTACAGTCTCGTCGTCCGGCCCCTGCTCCTATGTGTGCGACGGCGTGGCAGTCTAGGCGGCCCTCGTCCGCTTCTCCAGTGTCGTCTGCTTCCTCGATGGGCGTGGATGGCGCTCCCCGGCCTCGTTATGCGACTTGCGTCATTGACCTCGGGCGTTGGCCGATGCTGCCCGATATAGATGTTCCTGAGTTTATGATACCCCCTCTCCCGAGGGGGATCAAAAACCCTACCGACCTTGAAGATTTGGTCTGGGAGGCTTACAAGGCGAAGTATCCTTCCGCTGTTTTCCCGGAGAAGTACATTTCTCACGCTGTTCCTCGCAAATGATTTCTATGTATTCTGTGTTTCCTGTTGTGTGTGAGTGGGTGGGGTGGGTTTTGTTTCCCGGTTCCTGCATGCTCCGGTGTATGTTGTAGGTTTTCTTTGTGTGAGGGATCTAGATCCCTCAGCTAGTTTTTCCTAGTTTCTAGATTAGGCTAGGCACTCTAGAAACTGAAGCTTTCAAAATAACATATGCTTGTTGGGTGTTGAATGAAAGCTCATGTTACGAACTATCATGTGAGAGTAGTTAGAAGTCTGTGATTGCTCTGTAGAGAGAATTACAGAGATTTTCCTGTTTCTGTGAAATAGGATGGGAGTTGAGAGTGGAGTGGTGTAGGGAGGTACTTGACTCTCCCAACGGTTTTACAGGGGGAGGGGAGAGAGTGGAGTGAACGTTGGAGGTAGGCCTCACCCTCCTTGTGACGTCACAGGACGCCTGAGGGTGATGGAGAGAGGTGATTGGACCGGCACCACGAGGAGCCGTGCGGGCTTCAAGCTGATTGGTCTAGGCATGGTAGTAAGGAGGTATGGGCATCTTGAGTTCCCTTAGCCCGCCAAATCTTCAGTTTGAATTGGGCGGCCAGGGAAGGAAGTAGTGTTTGGGGGGAGGTGGCACCCTGCCACCTCCACCCCCTGTTAATCGCTTCTGTCGTCCAAATTACTCGATTGGTGGCACTCCTGCCATCAGGGGTTGTGTCAAGGCCCAATTAAGTGAATTGGGGCCAGGGATTTACGGAAGAAACAGTAAAAAGCTAAGAGACAGTTGACTGTGTGAACGCATGAGGCAGGCTGGCAGAGCCTCATGGTGTAACAGATTGATCCCTCATCCCTCGGGTCGAGTATCCTGTCTAGTGGCAATGGACAATTGATGTTGGGCAGTGTACGTGTATGTGATATTACAGGCCCATGTTGGACTTTGCATTCCGCCAGGCTGCGTCAGTATGGGGACGCCGCCGGCCATTGTCACCACAGTGTAGAGCAAGGCAGGCTCTAGTCTGATGGGGTTGTGTTTTCCCCAGCCGTGTGGGTACTCCTGTGGGCGGCACCCATGTGCGCGCCCGCCCGCGGGTGGAGGCCACCCACCCAGGCCAAACACCACCCCACCCACCAGCCCGGCCGTTGGGGTGTTATGACGTCATGCGCTACCCGTGGCCACCCAGGCCACCAGCACGCCGGCCACCCCAGGCCACCAAACGCCCCCTTCTCTCAGCTCGGGAGGGGCGCTGTGGCCACATGCCTTGGCCACATGCCTTGGCCACTTTCCCGGGACAGCCTAGGGCCACATCTTGTCGACGCATGAGGAGCAAGCCAGCTAAGTGTGTCAGCTAGTGTGGTAGTAACTTTGGTAATGAGGAGAAATAAGGGAAAGAGGGCAGTAGAAAGGAGCCGTGAGTACAATAAAAGTTGTTACATTGAGGAAGCAGCTGAGAGACAGCTGTCTGTACTGTCGTCCAGGTGACTGGTTGGGATGTACCTGGAGATGGATGTTGTACACGGTACCACACAAGTAGTTATATATATATATATATATATATATATATATATATATATATATATAAGTGTGTAGACTGACTAGTGTATGTAACCAGTCAGTGTAGAGATTTACCATATAAGTGATCCAGCCTGTCGATTCTATATAATCGTTCAGGCTGGATTAATGCCATAGAGTACCGTAAAATTATAATCATTAGAGGTAGACAGGGATGTCAGTGGGGACCCCTGAAGTCTGTGTAGGTAGTTGCACATTACTTGGTGATTAATTTTCATTGATTATGTGAATGCCATTCCTATGTGTTCATTTGCATGTTTATGTACTGTGTTGTGTGGTAAGTCAGTAGGTGTGATTGCTGACTGATTGCCTAATGATGTCATTAGCATGTGGGGTATGCTGACGGCATCATTATGTTGCAGGTTTGTGCAGTGTTGTTATCAGTTTATACAATATTATTGCCCCAGGAACTGTGTTGAGGGTTTAAGGGACCTCTAGGATTATTCAGGGGAATGCACAGTACTTATTGAAAGCAGGCAATTGATGGGTTAATTGCCTGGCTGAGGTATGTGTGTGTTCACAGTATTCCTTTGCAATCGGGTGCAAGTAAAAGAGGAGGGGCAGTAATATTAGTATACTTGTGTGTGTTGCACAACCGTGTGTTTTTATTGTGTGGGCACAGTAATTAGCGAGTTGCAGTAGCCGCAACCATATGTGGGCAGTGCTGTTATGATGTTGCATGCCATTGTAGTGTGACCTATGTAACGCTGGGGTTACTTTGTTTCTTTAAGTTGTGTTGAGGACTTAAGGATTCAGTGAGTTAATTAAGTAAAGGGGTAATTAACTGGATAAGGGGTGCACACTTAGTATTGTGGAGTGAGTGAGGGCTGTTATAAGAGAAACAGTGTTGAGCTAGAATGAGATACGTCTCGGGAGCAATTAATTGTCCATGTGACAGTTAATTGACCACTCTAGCTAATTATGTAATTAGCCTTCTCATCATGAATTCACGTAGTGGGAGAGGATCTGTCAGAGTCTGTCAGTACTTGTGTTAACGTAATATGCTCGAGACTAATTACCTTTCAGGGGTATAGCAATTAGTGGCTCATGTTAATTAGTGGAGTAATTAACATTGGAGAGCTCCGGTGACTCGGTAAAGCGAGGTCATGGAGCTAGCATAAATCGTTGTATTAATCATATCCTGTCTGAGGACAGTGGATTATTGGCACATCTTGTTAATTAGGGTAATTAACTCCTTTCCCGTGAATTCACAGTGTTTGATGAGACCTGCTTAGGCAGTGCGGAGTGAGACGTATTTCTGGATGATTAATTATCGGTCCTGGTGACAGTTAATTAATGGCTCAGTAATTAGTGCCCTAATTAGGGTAATTAACACTCACTAGTAATTTTTTTGACACAGACTGTGGAGAAGCTACCAAGTTAGGGTAGGCTTAGTTAACGTAACTCAATGGGGATGTAATTAGTGGTCCGTTTGACCTTAATTGAGAATTACTCACTGAATACTTGCAAGGAGTCAAGTGTGGTGTAATATGTTGAGTTATTGTTAACAAGAGAGAGACAAGTGTTAAAGATTAACGTAGAGTATCATCATGTTGTTGTCTAGTGGGAGACAATTGTTTGTGATTACCGTGGTACTTTGTTGCTGACTGCTGCAATCAGTCAATTAACGTAATTAATCACTTCAGGCAATTTCTTTTGGTTGTCGTCTGGTGACGAGAGTAGAGTCATCTAGGGATCTGTGGAGCTGTGTCCCAGAATCCCGCCTTGCCTGTCTGTGTATCGGGTTACAACAGGGCAACTTCTTAGTGGGAGTTGCAAAGAGTGTTCACACTGGGTTGTGATAGGGGGAGTCACTGTTAGACTTCCGCCTAGTTATGTGGGTCTCTCCTGGGGGGCGGGAGGACCCCTAAGTTTGTGATTATAGTAGCTGTCAGGGAAATCGAGACACTATTGATTGCCTGCTTGTGTCTTTGTCTTCAGTGGATCCTTCATTTGTTCAGTTAGTTCATGTTGTCAGCCCGAAGTGTCAGCAAGATGGAGCCTGCTGTCACCTCTCGAGGGGCTGTTGAATAGCTGTGTTGCAAATGCCACTTGATGGACAATAACATAACCATTCGCTGTGGTGTAACTTAGTCTGTGATATTTTTCTTTGTTTTGCAGTATTGCGTCATCAGTGGGCACACCTGTGTTCAGGTTAGTTCAGTATGCAGCCTCACAGCAAGGGTTGCTATTTAGCTGTTTGCTATCGTGCCACTGGATGACATTAACGTAACGTAAACTCGGTAATGTAGTAGTTAGTCTCTTGTTATTAATAAATTGTTATGTTATAGAAAACAGTCTTTGATGTCAACCCTTCAACCATATTATTCCACCATATTTCTGCATATTATTAAATGTTGATGTGATCTTGATATGACGACTGTTCTTGGGAATTCGAATTCCAATTCATAGCGCCACATCAAATATAAATATTTGATTGTGAGAACCCGTCGGTTACCCTTTATTAGTTTTAACATCCTGTTTAACTAGGAGGAGCCAGCGGCCTATTGTGGACAGGTTTTCACCCTTGGTGGTGGAGGCCTGGCGGTTTGCTCCCGCTTTTCCTTTTTTCTACTGGACTCATGCTTAACTGCCGTGAGCAGACTTTAAACTTGTAGTACACCTCCTAAGGGAGGTAAGCGTAGAGAAAAATCTCACAGGCGAGTGCTCTTTGTTCGGTTGTGCCATTTTGTTTTGCCTTCCGTTTGTTATGACGTGCTTTACCTGTTGTACGTGTTTGTTCTTTATGTTTTGTTTGGTATGTATTGTGATTGTACTGTTATGTTCCCTGTTGTGCCTTTGATGTATGTTTTGTTTTATGACGGTTTTGTTTTGTGATGTTACTGTGCTTGCTAGTTTGCCATTGTATTCTACTTTGTGCCTTGTTGTATGCTGTATTTTTCTATGCCTTTATCATGTTTGTGGTTTATTGTGAAATGCTGTCGGCCCTTCTGGCCGGTGGTCTATTGTTTTCTTTTGTTCTGTTCTGTATTCTGTGTTGTTTTAATTGTATTTAAGTTGCATGCTTTGCATGTAAAAATAAAAATAAAAAAAAAAACTTCAAATTCTTGAGGTCCAGTATCTGCTAGGAATCCTGATATGTTCAATGTCACCTTACACAAGGGTTTAAGTTTCAGCTGGTTAGCTGCTTGTTGAGTGATGAACGTTCTCTGGGATCCCTGGTCGAATAGACCTCTTGTAGTGATTTTAGAATTCTTACTATTTAATTGTAGTTGTGCAATAGGTAATACAACATTATTACGAGACTTGGTGTTAAGCACCTTAACCTCCTGTCGCACCTTACAACACTGCACAATGGTGGAAGTATCCTGTTCCACCTGGAGTTTTGGTGATTTAGGCCTATCAACTCCACACAATGCTGAATGATGTTGATCCTGGTGGCACCTGTTACATATGTGTAATGGGGTGGTGCATGTATTAGGATCGTGTTGCAACAAACACCTGGTGCACTTGTGCAATTCCGTGAGGCGCTTTATCCTAGAAACGCGATCAGGAAAGTTTTGACATTGATAAATTGTATGACGTTCTTGGCAAAAGAGACAGCATCTCCTTCCTGTAGTAGATGTAGGAGTCACTAACTTGGGTGACTTATGGGCTACAGGTTTACAAGGGCTGATAGTGTAGGTACCTACTGTAGTATTCTTCCATCTTGGAGTGGAAGTAGCGGTTTTAGATTTATTAGGCTGTTTGGAGGTAACTTTGGATTTGACTAGTTTGTCATTGGCTGATTTGTCAGTGTCAGATATTATTTTCTCATGAGCTCTCAGTCGATTAACGGTTATCCTTAATCCCTCGAAAATTTCATCTAAGGATAGGATATCTGTTCTATAATGGGAACAGATGGATGCTAGAATCTTCTTAGCAAACTTACTCTGTATTTCTAATTTCAATACCCAGTCTGCTTTAGGTACATCTGCTTTGACACCTAGAACTTTAATTAGAGACTCAACCTGGAGCCTAAATTCTTGTAGAGCGTCAGGTGTTGTATCTGGTGTAGGTATCGCTCTTAACTTATAATAAAGATTAGCAATAGCAATTTCTTTATTGCTGTAATTAACTTCTAGTAACTGAATAGCAGAATCGTAGTCCTTATCACCAGGAATTAGGTGTTCGACAACTGCTTTTGCTTTACCCTCTAGGGTACTTTGCAAATAGAGGAATTTATTAGGCTTGCTAATAGATTTTTTGGAGTTTATTAAGGAGTCGAATGTTTTCCAATAGCATTCGAAATTTTCATCATCTCTACCATGGAAGTGAGGAAGATCAATTGTAGGAAGACGAACTTCCTGGAGTGTTTCCTGTTCATTAGTTTCACTCGTAGTCAGAGTATTTTGAGAAACTGAGTTGCTCTGCAATTTTTCTAGAGATTGTGTTAATCTATTTAGATAAACTTGGGTACCCTCATCAAACTTCTCCATCTCGACATGGAAGGTATCTAGTTATCCGGCTCAGCATTCTGTTGCATGAGGACTCTGAGATAGTCATCTGCAGCTTCATTTGTTCTTTGCAACTTTTGCTTGGCCGTCTCTATGAGGTTTTCTAATACTTTGACTGTGGCACCTGATTGTACCAGCTGATCACACTTATTCAACTGTCTAGTCACATGGCCTTTGTGATTCGTGTATGATCTAAAGTATAGTAAGCAGTTGCTGGACATTTCTTCTGGTGCACTGCCTGTGGACTTTGGCTTAGGGGACATCTATGCTCAAATCCGAAAAATTTCGAAAATTTACGAAAAATTCTGAAAAATACTACAACGTTCTGGCAACACTGTGGTCAAACCGTTTTATGTTATCTTGAAAAATAACGTAATTAAGAGTCAAATTTCCCGCTGCAACTTTCGTGAATCCGGTTCTCGCGGCCTGGGTGCGCCGTGGGGTATTGTGTCTTACGTTGTAGAAGTCTAATATTTCGTAATAGCATGGAAAATAACGTGTTATGCATAAAACGAATATAAACTCACTCATTGGCAACAGTCTCGTGTGAGAGAGGGGTGGGCTTGCTGGCTAAGTCAGTCACTCTTTGTGTCCCTTAGCTGGTGGATCTATCGTGGACGCGCTCTCACAATTTGTGCTATTTTTACTGCAAAATGCCATACAAAACGAAGATGAGGAAAACTATGAAAGCTGAAAGCATGCTAGCTGCCCGTAGAAGATGCGAGCTGGCCAGAATCTGTAGATTACGCACTTTGACGAGTGAAGATCGAGGCGGCCACTCAGCCGCAAGTGTTGCAGCCCGCTGCCCCCCCCCCACAACCCCACCCTCTGCCACCGCACATTTTCCACCTTCTACTCCAGGTCTTGCACCTGCTACTCCAAATCTAACTGGACTGGTACTTGAACAAAAAGGACAAGGATATGCAGAGACCAACGAGACGCACAACCAAACCAAGAAAGGCCCCTGAGGGAGCTGACCCCAGCTATGGCGCAGGTGCCTACTAGTGCCACTCCAGTGCCACCTTGAGGACCCATATTTCTGACCAATTATATTAGGTTAGTATGTTTTAGTGTTATATTGTGATATTACTTCATAAATATTTGTACATATAAAACTGGTGGCAAATATAAAAAATTTTTATTTATCAGCCGATCTGCATGGAACTTGCACACCTTACTGAACCCATGCCTATCTACAAGGGTGCAAATTTTTAATGATATTGGTCAACATCAACCTCAGCTAAAGGTGGCTGAACTTTAACCTCCGTTTGTGCAGGTAAATATTTTACAATTTTATCTGATTTTACAGACTTTATTTATTATTCAATTTACATGAAACTTGCAAATTATATGTAGAGTTTATGCCTCTAAAACATAGTGGTGGCTTTTCTTTCTACGTAGATTTATTGATTTTATAAATATTTATAAATATCATATTGTTGCATAGGATTTTTGGGAAATTTACAAAATCTGTATTATTGCACTAAATACATCTGGGATAAAAATCTATCAGACAAATCTTTATTATACGGTAAGGTCATAGCTAAGTGTCATAGTTCGGTTCACAATTGTGGGCTGTGAAATGATTTGAACATTGTTGAAAAATTGTCTAAAAAAACGTTTTTATTGTTTTTCTCCCTCTCTATTTAGGCTGCGATGCTGAAACTTGGCCCAGTTGCAGCACCTTCACATGTATCAGGATAATAAATTTTCAATGCCCTACAACAACTTTTAATTTTCATCTAGCCAACCATGGCTAGCCAAGTTGATGCCATGGTTTGGTAATGAAAATAACTGGGGTACTGATTCATATATACGTGGAACCAGTATGGTTATTAATAGCCTAATATCTGGTTCTTAATTAGGCTATGTGAATCCTACCTTACGTAGAGGTACCTAATAGTAAACAGCTAATATTTGAGTGGTATTTATAGTGTCTACAGGAATTCCTCTGCTTAGCTCCTCATTATCAGCTTTGGATGGGTAGTGACACTTCAATAACACTCAAAATGTACACAGTAAATATATATAATAAGATATAGAAAACACAATTTGTGTAAAATAATGATAAGTCCTACCCTGACTTGGGTTTGCACAATAATAAATGTTGACTAGATTGTACTGCCTGGTACAATGCTAGTCTACTAATAATCCTACCTATCTAGGTTGGCTAGTAATAATGAGTTAGGCTAGAATTGTACACTAGTAAGTACAATTCCAGTCTAAGCATTCTATTCTACATGGATTGGCATAAAATGCTATAATACTACTGATGTGCAGATTCAGGATAGTGCTATGTTTTAGGCTTTTTATAATTTTTGAGTTATATAGAGTATATACAAGTGATTATATATGTGACAAGTATTCTACTACTACGAATGATTATATATGTGGCACGTATTTTACTGCCGCAATTCTATATGTGTGGCAGGTATGCTGCCTTAAATTCTATGAGACAGATATGCTGCCGTAAATTCTATGAGAGTGGCAGATATGCTGCCCTAAATTCTATCCTAGCACCTAATAATACTCCCTAATTAAAGAGTATAATGTTATCAGGGATGAAAAATTATAATTGAATTGTAGATAGTCTAACTTCTGGCTATATTCTACTAATTATAATGTTAAATGTGGTTCATCCGGTACGAAGTTGACCATAAATATATGGGCTCTGAGAACCGGTGAAAATTCTAATATTAACTCTGCATCGTTGGATCTCAAACAAGATCCTTGTTCGTAGGACCATAAAATATGTGGGGAATTCTGGCTCCAGTATAATACTGATAAAATGTATAATTTTAAGAATGCAAAATAATGGTTAATTCTAAGATAGCTCGAAGGACCAGAATGAATAATGAAATGAGAAAATCAGTGGCTTATAGATCTATGATTATAAGTGAATAAATTCTATTAAGCATTGACTGTAAATTAAATTAGAAATGTAAATTGGAGCTATATATTTACAGTAAGTCATTATACATTAATGGTAGGTATTATCGCTAATGCATAACAGTTTGATCAATGGAGATATTACAGAGTCATAGCGTAGCTTCTGTTTATTATTAGTCTTCACAATACACTACTTGTTTCTTAATCTTATATGTCATTTATCTACTGGAAGCGAAATATGGATACAGTGCAAGGATTTCAGGTAATTATCCATGGTAATAAGATAGGTTGCCATATCATACAGAGTGAGCTTAGATTTATCTCTAAATGGCTCAAATTTACTACAATCCAAGATATAGTGTTCGAGTGTGTGTCCCTGTCTTTGTCCACACACTTTACACTTTACTTCATCTAGATCCCTATACAAGCCGAACTGTCAGAGATACTTGTAGCCAAGTCTTATACGAGCTGTGACAACATCTGTTAGTCTACTGACTTTGTTTCTTGCCCCATACACATGTTTTACTTAACACATTTCATTGTGATGAACAATGGACCTGCTAGTTCCAGTTTGCACAGTTCTACTTTCTTCAAATCCATCCAGGAGTTCTCGTCTAATGACACTTAAGGGACCTATTTGTTAACTCAAGATTTCGTTCAATACTGTCTTTATTTACTGCAGCCTTAGCAAGGGCGTCAACTTTATCATGTTCCTGCAGGCCAATGTGAGAAGGAATCCACAACATTTTTATATTTACCTTCTTGGTAAGTATTCTTATATATCTACGTCTAGCTTCCAAGACAAGCACGTTATTATTTGATTGCAAACTGTTTATTGCTCGTAGTGAGGAAAGGGAAGCGGAAATAATTAAGCTGTCTACTTCAGTGTTGTCAATAATTTCGAGTGCTACCAGTATTGCTACCAACTCGGCTTGCATTTATTAATTACCCAGTTACTAATTCGGATATTCCTTTGAATTGTGCTGCCATCGGGCTGATGAGCAATAACAACACTTCCTGCCCTCCCTGTAGCTGTATTGAGTGGTCCGTCAGTGTATATGGTCTGTGCTATGTTGTTTTCACCTTGTATATTGTGAATGTGTTCTATGGTGCTTAATCATTAAGTAAGATAATTTTATATAAATTTTCCACTCGTCATGTGTTAAGGGGGCGAGGGCTTAGGGGTTCCAACGCCAGTTTGAGTTAGTATCTGAGAACCGTCCCTAGAGACAACTGGCCTGATAAGTCATCCTTGTTTTGTTCTTTATCTTGTCGTAGTAGATTTTATTTATCTTTGGGTGCTGCCTTATTATAATTATCTTAGTGTGCCATTATATTACTTGAGATATATGAGTATATATTAATATATTATTTGAAATATTATACATATATATATATATATATATATATATATATATATATATATATATATATATATATATATATATATATTATACATATATATATATATATAACTGAAAACTCACACCCCAGAAGTGACTCGAACCCATACTCTCAGGAGCAACGCAACTGGTATGTACAAGACGCCTTAATCCACTTGACCATCATGACCGGACAAAATGAGGTGATAGCCTAAGCTATTTGAACCACCCCACCGCCGGCACTCGGATAGTAATCTTGGGCATACCATTTTACCAAATCACCTCATTCTTTGGGGCACACGTGAGGAACACAAATGCGAACAAGCCTGAATGGTCCCCAGGACAATATGCAACTGAAAACTCACACCCCAGAAGTGACTCGAACCCATACTCCCAGGAGCCACGCAACTGGTATGTACAAGACGCCTTAATCCACTTGACCATCAAGTGGATTAACAACACTCCTCTTGTACCTGTCAGGGCAGTCGCTGTTGGCATTTAGGCACATTCCTATGTTTGTTTCCTTTGTGTAGACTGCAGTGTGGAAACCTCCGCCCTTTTCCATGACTGTTACATCTAGAAAAGGCAGCTTCCCATCCTTTTCCGTCTCGTAAGTGAAACGCAGCACGGAACTCTGCTCAAATGCCTCCTTCAGCTCCTGCAGATGTCTGACATCAGGTACCTGTGTAAAAATGTCGTCAACATACCTGC